AAGAAGAAGAAGAAGAAGAAGAAGAAGAAGAAGAAGAAGAAGAAGAAAGACACCATCCACTCAGCGTAATGGTGAATATCTTTAATCCTAGCACTGGGGAAGGCAAAGGCAAGCAGGCAGAGCTCTGTGAAGTTCTCAAGGCCAACCTGGTATACACAGTGAGCTCTAGGACAGGCAGGACTGCACAAAGAGACCCTGTCTCAAAAAGAAGAAAGGAGGAGGAGAAGACACCATCCTCATTACAACGTAACAGGGATAATTCTCTTTCCTTATAGTTGATGGATCTGAGGCTCCTTAGGTTTGGCATTAGGCTAAGATCACGTGGTTGTATAAAAATTCAGGTCTCCCTCCAAGCCTCACTTTTGTTAACTCTGCTATCCTATGTCTTTAGAATATAATCAACACTAAGGAAAAATGTGTATACACAGACACACACACACAAGTTCACTTTTAGCTTCTCTATTTCCTCTATCTCAATTTGGATTTCTCCTGTGTGTTTGTGTGTGTGTGTTACTATATGTATGCAACTATGTACATAATATGTAGAAACCAGAAGAGGACACTGGTGTTCTCCTGTACCACCTGCCTTAATCTTTTCAGACAGGGCAGAATCTCTCACTGAATCTGAATTGAGAACAGGGCTGGAGAGAGCAAGCCCAGGAATGCCGAACGAACACACACAAACACAGGCTCCGGCCCCCACACTGTGCACGTGCATAGATTGTCCTGCCTTTCATATGAGCCTTGGGATGCAAACCCAGGTCCTCCTGCTTGTGCAGCAAAAACTTCTACCCCCAGGCCATCTCTCCAACAATCTCAATCTAGATTTCTAAATGTTTTGGTTTCAGTGTGGTACCATACAAAGAATTTTTAAAATAATAAAACATATTAAACTCTAATTGAATAGGAGTCATTTTTTCAAGTAATGTTATCAAAGTATGCAAAATCTCAAGTAATAATTTAGTACAGACAAAAATAATGAATTTGAAAGGGAATTTGTTAGAAAACTGACACACTTTCAAAAGCTCCCTGGTCTGCCAAAAGTTAGAATTCTATACCTAAGCAGCTGGCTTTCTGAACATGATTCTAATTACTAACAGACAATCCTTCTAGTGCTGTGTAAAACTGTCCGGGAGACATGAACAATGGGATTAAAAGAGTCAACCAACTGACAACTTCATCACTTACCCCTAGACCAACAGAACAAACCGGAAGGAGACATTTTCAAACAAAAATGCTTAGGAAACTTTAAAGAAATGTTAAAACTTCAAAGAGAATTTTTTCATATCACATTTCAAACATTCTTCCAGGACCAAAAAAAAAAAAAAGGATAAATGACTTCAAATTAACTTGGTTTCCACTGTTCAAACACAAAATAAGGAAGCCAGGCATGGTAATGAATGCCTTTAATGCCAGCACTCAGGAGGCAGAGGCAGGTGGATCTCTGTGAGTTCAAGGATAGCCACAAAGAAACCCTGTTTTGAAAAACCAAAAACCAAGTTAGAGAAGCATAACAATGTCAAAATATATAATCACATAGAAAGGTTTTCCAAGTAAGTAAGAATCCTAAGAGATTCTTTTTGTTTGTTGTTTTTGTTTTCCTGAGACAGGGCTTCTTGTAGTTCTGGTTGTCCTGGAACTTACTCTGTAGACCAGATCTCTGACCTCAGACATTCAGAGATCTGCCTGCCTCTGCCTTCCAAACCCTGGGATTAAGGGATCCTTAATCTTAATTATCCACTTGACTAAGATACAGCACACCTCTGGATGTGTTTCCAGAAATAGCTAGATATTGAGGACACCAACCTAATCCATTTTAATTCACTGATAGATTCAAAAATGTGAAAGGTGAGTCTCAAGGAGAAAGTAGAATGCTGAAAGGTGTGTTATTGAGGGTCTTATCTTGGTCCTAGCTCCTTCCTATTGCTCCCCTTTGCTTCTCTGTTTCCATTTGTGTCTCTTATCTCCCTTATTGCGTCACCTTTGGGGAGGGCAAAGACAATGCCTTCCTCATCTTCCTATTCACTCAAGTCCAGTGAACCCCAATTGCCCATGAACAGATAACTCCCTGATAACGCTGAGGGTTGTTGTTCTGTTAAGATAACAAATCACATGTTTTCACTTCAAGAAACAAGGTTTGTTGCTCCAACTGCACAGGATGTGCTTGATTAGACTCAGGCGGGAGACACACAGGTAGGAAGTACGCTTAGGTGGGAAGTACGAAGCCTTGTGGGCACCTGACTGACCTAATTCAGCACCATTTCTACGGGAGGACCTGGCCAGTGTCCATTTTCCTGGCCGGTATTTAATAAAGCTTGCTTCGGTTCGACAATCATGGATTTGGTCTTTTTCCACAAGTTTCAGGCTTAACACTCACCAAACTACTTTCCACCAAATAAGCATTAAATACGTAAGAAATGAGTATGTGAAATATGATATTCAGCTTTCAATAGCCATTACTTCTACAGTTGCAGTCTGAATTTTCTTCCTCTAAGCTTAAACATTAAAATGTTTTAGAAACTAAAGAAACAAATTCCCTCTCTCTCTCGCTCTCTCTCTCTCTCTCTCCCGCTCACAGGGATAAAAACTGTAAAACTCTTTAGTCACAAGCGCGCACTCAGCGCTCAGACGCACGGTCAGGTGTAACTTTCAACAATCGGATCCAAGGTGAGACCCGTATAAAAACCTGCAGTATACGCCAATGCTACTTAAAAACAAAACAAAAAAAAAAAACTAGTTCATCTCCTAATGTTTTTTTTTTCTTTTATTTTTTTGTGGTATACATAAGAATTTAATCAAATTAAAATAAACTTTCTGGGGAAGCTTTTTATTTTTTAATACAGAACATTTTTCATACATTTTGATCAGATTCTTTCCTCTCCAAGGCCTCCCTGATCCGCCCCACCTTCCTACCCTCTACCTTCATGTTCCTACTTTCTAAAACAAAGAAAAAAAAAGTGCATGCTTTTCTTAGACTAAACCTTCCACTCCTAAAGCAGCAGCACAAAATCTTAATACCTTAGTAAACTCTACACTACCATCCCGACTTCTGAAATTTCACCCATCTATATATAAATCACAGATTTCCGGTATTCAATAAGCAAATCTCTGGCACAGTCTCAAGTTTGCCTACTGGTTTTCTGTGATCACCATGACGATGGACTAAACATCTCATGTAAATATTAGTTGTTAACCCTAAGTACTTTGTTCCCTACTGACGGGGGAGGGGAAGGTGGAGGGATCGGTAGGGTGTTTTGTAACAAAGATGGACTGTTACTTTCACTTCTACAATGTTCGCCCCTTCACGATTTTAGGGCACGGTTTACTTGTTCATTCAGCGGTGATTCTGTCAACCATCACGTAAAACTGCTGTGGAGTCACTACGCTGAGTTACAAACAACTCGCTAGGTCTTGCAGGCCAATAGGGACCCTCAGGTTTTCGGCTCCCCTGAGGCCTCGCGGGTCACCAAAGCTCCGGTCTGCGCCCCACGCGGGGATCCCGGCCGCTCTGGCTTTCCTTCCCGTCCTTATTAACGTGGTCACTTGGTTATCCACCCCTTAGAGCAGCTCTAGCGCGACGCCCCCGAGGCCGGACTCTGCTGCCTGGCGGAGGAGTTCAAGATGGAGGCGGGCAGCGCCTGGGGCCCGGCTGGGCGGGGTTTCGGCGCGGCCGCCCAGGACCCCGCCAGGTCCTAGCGGCAGCTCGCGTTCACCGTCGGGCCGCCCGGACCGCGGGCGGGCGTGGAGGTACCAGGGCCAGGGGCGCCATTGTGACCCTCCCCTAGCGGGCGGGGCGGCCGAGGGCGGAGGCGGCGGGGCGGAGCCGACGGCGGGGACGGGGGTGGCGCCGCTCCTCGCCACCGTCTGCGCGCCCAGCGGCTCAACATGGAGGCCCGGCCTGCGGCCCCGCAGGGGTTCCTACCTGAGGCTTCCCGCTCCTTCTCGTCCGCCATCTTGGTGCGGAGCCCGTCGCCTGGGAGATGCCCAGCGCAAACCCTGCGGGGTGCGCGGTGGCCTCCCGCTTCCGCCCGCGGCCCGCTCCGCGTTCCCCCTAGAACCGAGGCCCGGGTTCTTTGGGCCTAGGGGAGTCATTTATTAGTAAGGTTCCGGAGCCCGCCTTGGCCTGACTGTGACTGTCCTCGGAGGACGTGGCGTGCCTTAGTTATTTATCTATTTAGCTTAAAAAAAAAAAAAAAGGAAAAAGAAAAAGAAAGAAATCTCCCTTGCGCGGAGTCTCGGCTGCAGACCGGGTGGTCCGAGCGCGCATCCCTGGTCGCCCTCGCCTAAGCGGAGCCGCCGCGCAGCCCAGAGACCTGGAGCGAAAGCGACCGTGACCGGTGGAGGAGGAAGGCAATCCTCTCTTCCCGGATCGCAGGCGGACAAGACCCGCTGGAGAAAAACGTGCAAAATAGGCGCAAGCACTGCGACGTTAAGGCTGCAATTTCTGATACAAAAGAGTATTCTTGTAGCAACAAATAAATTCCCCGGTCTGCTGTCAGTATTGAACACATTGATATGTTGATGGTGAAATTTGGCGTGACCTTCCGAGAATTTTGAACCCTATTTTCCTGAGAAACTTGGCTGTCGCGTAATGTTTTGTGGATATTTTATGGATAATCTCAGTATACTAGGTTGTGGGTTTTTTTGTTTGACTGTTTTTTTTTTTTTTTTTGTTTTTTGTTGTTGTTTTGAGACAGGGTTTCTCTGTGTAGCTTTGGCTGTCCTGAACTCACTTTGTAGACCAGGCTGGCCTCGAACTAACAAAAGTCTGCCTGCACCTGCCTCTGCTCCCGGAGTGCTGGGATTACAAGCATCTGTGTGACATTTTATTTGATGCAACTGAGCATCTTTCGGCTGACCCTTCTTGGTTCCCACTTTGCCATAATTCTTATTAAACAGATGTGACCTTCACATTTCTAGAGCTCAAGACAATGCGAAAGGTGCATCTGGATCTCATTCCAGCTTCCTAGTTGTTGGGTAATCCCTTCCTTGGATGATTAATATCAAGAATGCTCACACCACCCCCACCAAAAGTCCTCAGATGACATCAGTGAAGACTAGGTATCACTCAGGAGTATACCAAATGCAAACCATGCTGAGAAACACTGGGTTTGCACCGAGAACCAAATACTCTAATCAACACAATAAGGACTGGCTTCCTGACAGAGCTGTCTGTTAAAAATAGTTCTTTTCCATGCTGGAGATCTAGCAAAGCTGGTAGAATGCCTACTCAGCATGTCCAGAGCATGGACAAAGCTCTGAATTCAGTCCCTAACTAATGTCCTATAAAACAGATGTGGTAGTATATGAGCACTAGGAAGGTAGAGGCGGGGATTTCAAGATCATTGAAATTCAAGGCCAGCCTGGACTACATGAGACCCTGCCAAGATGCTAATTAAGCTATGTGAAATTCTTTTAATCTGTACAAGGTTGAGGTTGTTCTCATTCCTGTTTAACAGGTGAAAAGATATCTTTAGCCTGGTAGTGGTTGGCACATGCCCTTAATCCAGCATTCCGAAGGCAGAGACAGGTCTCTGAATCCCAGGACATCCAGGACTACACACATAAATCCTGTCTTGGGGGTGGGGGAAGAAGATATCTTTATATAAATGCTATGGCTATGGTATTGTAGGTAGTCAGGTGTCTAGAATAGATTACAGCTCATCTGGGCTCTCCTTCTCTTTTTAAGTGTGCCATTGGGAGAGCCGACTTAGTAACCAGAATACTTGGAGAAGAACGTTAAAGGCAAAAATTCTCCACAGAATTAGTCACCTCTCCTTGTGGGTTTTTTTTTTCCTTTGTAAAATCTGCTTCAAAACATGAAGCAGAGCATCTGGCCGAATCTTTCAGAGACGCTGAAGGAAGCAGATGCATGTGCTCTTTGTCCTGCCTAGAAGAAAATGATTTAAACTAAAGGCCTGAGCAGACGCTGGCTCCTCTCTCCTTCCTACCTTGCTGTTGACCGAGATTTCAGGCCTCTATCATGAAGGAGGATTGAAAGCTGTAGCCCTGGACTAGTACATTTTCAGAACCAGAAGTAATTTCAATGTCCAGAAACAGTGAACAAAGAAAGCCAGGCTGTGGGCACCTTAAGAGCAAGCCTTTCAGGAAGTACAAGCCTATGAAAGCAGACACATCCTAGCCTTTCTCCCCAAAGCAAGCTTCTTTCTACTGCTCTTTTAAACAGATGTTGACACAGAAAATGGCTGTTTAATTCTTTGCTTGCATAGCTCCCCTAAGCAGCACCTTTCAAGGACGTTTAGCTAAATTCCTGTTCTTTATGCGCTGAGAATGAGACCCTCTAATCTAGGAGAGCCTGGGGCTCTCTCTGTTCTCACAGCTCAAGCAGGTGAAGGCCAGAGAGAAGTGGAGGAGGATGCTCCTAAGGAGTCCAACATCCACAGGATTCAGCTGCTTCTTTCCTCCCCAAAACTCACCATGGCTTCCCATTCCCTTCAGTAAAGACATCAGTGTGCTTTAAAATAGTAACATTGGGTCTGGCAAGATGCGTCAGAAGGTAAAGGCACATGCTCGAAAGCCTTATGACCTGAACTCAATCTCCATTGTAAATGTTTTCGTTTTGTCTTGTTCTGGGTTTTGTTTGTTTGTTTGGGGGTTTTTGTTTTGTTTCCTCAGAAGAGGGAATAAGATGAGGCTGTACCCAAGCTTTACGAATATATAGCTTGGGCTGAATCCAGGGCGTTTCCAACTATTCCTAGGCCTAGGCCTGGAAACTTCTAGCCTCAGGCCAGTGCCAGAGAGCTCACCCTGGCGTGGGAGTGCAGGTGAGCTGCTACCTCTCCACTACCCCCAGGCTTTGAGTTGGCTCACCCCAGCCTCTACCCCATCTACTGTTATGAGTTCACACTGACCACTCAATGTGACACCAGACTCAGAGTGATGGAACTCTATTGAATGCTGAACAAAAACTGACTGGTCAGGGACATAATCTGGGCTCAGGTGCCAGACTATGACTCTGGTCTGTTTTTAAGGCAGGTTTTTTAATATGAAAAACTGTAACCAGGTAGCAACCAGGTAACCAGGTGTAGGAAGTTGAGTGTTGGGCTGGGGGAGCATTACATCCTTTTGACTAGCTAAACATAACTGATTTTGTTCCAAGTGTATTGTCTTGTATCTAGGTAGCTAGACAAAGCACTTTCGGCTGATTAGCTGGGATTTAGGGTAGGGAACTCTTGGGGGCCTTCCAGCTTTCTAGGAGTAAGGAGCAGAGCAGGATGTTGCTATCAGTGGAGCAGAACATGCATTTATCATCTATTGTTTTATTAAGCAGCCAGTATTGCACTATTGAATTGTATCCTGGTCTCAGGTATGTATACCTGAGAATTTGAACCTAATTTCACCTTATGATCAAAATGGAGACTTGGAGGCAAAATGGCTTCTGATATGCTAAAGGTTACAGCAGAAGAAGCCACAGAGAAGCCACAGTTAGGCTAAGAACTACAGTAGGTCTGAACAGAGGGGCTCTAGAGTTTGAACAGGTTACGACACTATGATCTACTGGAGCTTGTGAAAAAGCTAGTCCTGCAGACCCAAAGCTGCAGGATCTCTGTGACACAGGGCAACAACAGACTATTCAAGAGGAGTCCCCATAAGGATCCAGTCTTGAGAGTGTAGCAGAGGCCAGAGGCCTTAAGACAGACCAATGACTCATTGCAATGAACATTTGCAGGTGAAGATGTGTGGAAAGTAAAGACGTGGTGCAACACACTGTGATGCCCTACGGCTTCCATGATGAGATGGGATTGTTTTGTTTTGGTTTTAGTTTTTGGTTTTTAAAATTTTTGTGTGGAGGTTGCAGGGGCAGAGGGTGAATACGAAGGGACAGGGAGATGAGTAGGATTGGAATCCCTGATGTGAAATTCAAAAAAAAATTTAAAAAATAAATTTTTTTAAAAAGAAAGATGAGGAAGAGGAAGAGGCCTCTAGGCTGGAGATACGGCTCAGTGGTTAAGGGCCCTTATAGCTCTTCCAGAGGACCTGAATTTTGATCCCTGACAGCCACATCAGGAAGCTTTCAAGTGCCTATAACACCAGCTCCAAGTGATCAGATGCCCCCTTCTTTAGGTACCTGTACACACACACACACACACACACACACACACACACACACACACTTACAACCACAGACATAAAAATAAAATGCTTTTTTTTAAAGTATAGTAGTTAGCAGACCTTATAAATGAAGTGTTGAAAAATTCTTTACAGAACTTGAAAGAAAAACTCTCAACTTCATATAGAAAAACAAAACAAAAAAAATTGCCAAAATGATCCTGTACAACAACAGATCATCTGGAGGTATCTCCATTCTTGATCTCAAGCTATACTACAGAGTAAAAGTAATAAAAACTGCATAGTACCGGCATAGAAACAGAATGGTGGATCAATGGAATCGAATTGAAGACCCATAAATAAACCCACACACCTATGGATACTTGATTTTTGACAAAGAAGCCAAAACCATACAATGAAAGAAAGAGCATCCTCAACAAATGGTGCTGGTCTAACTGGATGTCTACAGGCAAAAAAAAAAAAAAGAAAATAGATCCATACTTATCACCCTGCACAAAACTAAAGTCCACATGGATCAAAGACTTCAACATAAAACCAGACACACTAAATCAGTTAGAAGAAAAAGTGGGGAAGACCCTAGAACTCATTGGCACAGGAGACTACTTCCTGAACAGGACACCAACAGCACGGCTCTAAGATCAACAATAAATGGGACCTCAAGAAACTGAAAAGCTTCTGTAAAACAAAGAACATTGCCATCAGAACAAAATGACAGCCTACAGACTGGGAAAGGATTTCACCAACCCTTTATCTGACAGAGGGCTAATATCCAGAATATATAAAGAATTCAAGAGTTAAAAAGCAACAAATCAAATAATCCAATTTGAAAATGGGGTGCAGAGCTAAACAGAGAATTCTCTGTAGAGGAATATAGAATGGCAGAGAAACACTTAAATGTTCAACGTCCTTAGTCATCAGGGAGATGCAAATCAAAACGACCCTGAGATTTCACCTGACACCCATCAGAATTGCTAAGATCAAAAACTCAAGTGACAACACATGCTGAAGAGGATGTGGAGAAAGAGGAACCCTCCTCCATTGCTAGTGGGAATGTAAACTTTTACAACCACTTTGGAAATCAATCTGACATTTTCTCAGATAATTAGGAATAGCCCTTCCTCAAGATCCAGCTATACCACTCCTAGGCATATATCCAAAATATGCTCAAGTACACAACAAAGACATTTGTTCAACCATGTTTGTAGCAGCTTTATTCATGATAGTCAGAAGCTGGAAACAACCCAGATGTCCCTCAACAGAGAAATGGATACAGAAATTGTGCTATATTTACACAATGGAATACTACTCAGCAATTAAAAACAAGGAAATCATGAAATTTGCAGGCAAACG